TTATCTAGGAGGGATGCCGTACGAAATTGAGAATGATAGAACTCCTCTAAATGAAGCTACAACAAATGGTCAAGATCGATTAGTGTTGCAAACAAATAAATCTGCAAAAGAAATCTTTGATGAAAGATTTAAGGATTTGAACAAATGGTCTACCAAATCTTGTACAATATTCAAAGTAAATGCGGGGCTACGTAGATCAAATTCAGATGCTTATACTCCACTGTTGATCTCTATTGGTCCTTACCATAAGAAGAATCCACAGTTTTGTTCAATGGAAAATTATAAACTACGTTACCTACAACGGTTTCTCCAGCGGAATAAGGAGATTGATGTGGAGAGTTACATTAGGGAATTGGAGAAATTGAAAGATGAAGTGCTAAAGTGCTATGATGATAAAGGGGAACTTGGCAGTTATACTTCCAGCCAATTTTTGGAAATGTTGTTGCTTGATGGTTGTTTTGTGGTTGAGTATTTGCGAGAGGTTTTCAAAATTTTTCCAGAACGAGAAGACAAGATTATCAACGCAGATTGGATGGTAAATCTTATAGATCGTGACTTGTTGCTACTAGAAAACCAACTTCCCTTTTTGGTCCTCACCAAACTTCATGACATGACTAAGTATCCTACAGAATCATTTATTAAAATGGTAAAATATAACTTTTGTGGTAGTTTACCGAGGGTAACTCCTAAATTCTTAAATGAAGCTAATGGTAATGTCAAAGCAATCAAACATTTACTTCAAGTGGTACACATGTGTGGTACTTGTCGCCCCGAGAAACATTATTCTCTAACATTTGAGCCAGAATTAGAGCCGCAAATTATTAAGGATGCCAACTTATGGCACGACCTCATGAGAAGTGCAACAGAGCTTGATGAAGCCGGAATCAACTTCTCAAAAGTTAGTGAAATTTATAGAATGCTGGGCGAAGACAACGAGGGGGACAGCACGAGTTTATTCGATATCAAATATGTTAATGGAAGGATGAAAATCCCTTGTTTTGAAGTCGTTAATGGTACAGAGACAGTCCTGAGGAATCTAGTAGCTTACGAGCAACATTCTTCTGATGTATACACTAAATATTTCACAGATTACGTGATTTTTATGGATCGTCTTATCAACTCAGCCGAAGATGTGAAGTTGCTACGCTTGAAGGGAATTATCAGGAACCGGATAGGCGACGACAGTGATGTGGCTAGCATCTTTAACAAACTTGGCGATGGAGTCATTCCTTCTTCTAACTTCTATTACAAAGAAGAATGCAAAAAAGTGGTTGAGCATTGTAATAAAAGATGGAATAGAAGGATGGCAAATTTGAGGCACAATTACTTTAATGGACCTTGGGTGGGACTTTCAACTGCAGCAGCCGTCTTCCTCCTCGCGCTTACACTTATGCAAACAGTTCTAACTTTCATAAGTACTCTTTAAGTAGGATGCTGTTTCCTCACTGTTCCATTCAAGTAGTTGTGTGTCAATGTTGGCTCATCCAAGTTTGTGCAATGATAGTATAATTATGTGAGAAGGCACGAGACGTATGTTCAATTTTATAATTAGTCACAGTTTTCTATGTAACTTGTGTCTTCGTACAAGAAGCAGCTTAATTTTGAATTACCAAACCTCCTCTCTTTTACTTTTTCATATTTTTATCTAAACTAGTATCTATGAACGTGCACGTTAATAATAACACGCAATGGTTTAAACATTTAAATCATCTAAAAGCCGAAAAATATTATTACATAGCATAATACGTGACTTCAAAATGAAAGGACATCATCAGAACTTATACAAATAATCAATTTAGTCAAGTTAAATAATTACATATTAAAATTTAAAAGTATTTGATGTGATGGTATCTTCCCGAATACTTCTTAGTAGGATGATGTTTTTTTTGTGTATGTTTCCTTCTAATGCTTTGGTTGCTCTGCCATAACCAGAACTCTTGTTGTCGGTATTGATATCCCTCTTAAAAGTGCAATATATAGTTGTTCATGCAAGAAAATATATTACAATAAATATAGTCCAATATTTTGGATATTTGTCCTTGTGCTTTTATTTATTATAATTGCAAAATCTAAATACACCGAAAATTATTTTCACACAAATTTAAATGGATATTTTTAGTTTCGAAAGACGAAAGTTGAATTTGGGGATAAAAATATACTTAGAAGTACATTGACCAGTATCATAATTTTTGCATGTATAACATTATTGTCAAAATTTCTATATACCATCTATTGTGTTATTACATAAGCTATTCGGCGGATATAAGTTTTTCAGTAGCATAACAGGTATAGTTTTTTTCAAAATCAATCTATATGCAATGGAAGATCAATTTTAACTTCGTCTATTATATATACGGTGACACTAACATATGTAAGAAACTATAAACTTGACAATAAACCTGTGTGGTAGAAGGCCATTTGGGATTAAAATATTTAAGTATTTTTCTTGGTAGTAATTGTTGGTATCATCTTCTGCTGAGTCAAAAACTGAAAATATTTTATTTTTATCATAAAATTTCGCAATCAATCTTTTATTTAGTTGATTAACATATTCATTTTGCTAGCTAAGATAACTTTTTAATTTCTATCATGTAATTTACACAAATTGCGTTTTAATCTAATGATAGAAATATTTTCCTTATTAAATGCACTATTATTACCATTGGGATTGATAATCAAGTGTTGAAGAACCAAATCATCTTTTATTAGATGCTCTTCTTCGTTTCCGGCACGAAGCAAGAAGTCACTGAATACCAGACCTGTTCTTACTTTATATTTCTTGTCAGTTGAAACTTTTTCTTTTGAGGCCATAAGTATAATTTTGGCAAGCTAGTTTTTACCGTCTCTGCTTTAGTCTATTTTGGAACTATTGGTAGTACTTGACAGAAATCACCTTCCAAACTGTTAATTTTTCACCAAACGGTTCATTGATATTCAATATATCTCCAGAAGCTTCATCCCATATTATCAATTTTGCTTTCCTTATAAATTTAGCACCATTACTATGCTTTGATATATTTGTGATAGTTATTTCAGTTGTTTGAAGCCTCATAATAAAATCGTTGATGGTACACCATTTGTTATTATTGCTAACAGTATCATGCATCTTGATTTGACATTTGCAAGTAATGCATGACATAAAAATATTATTTCTATTTCGCTGGAGGCATTTATAATGATATTATTACAAGCTTGTTCTTGTTCAGGATTTAGCTTTGATTGTGCTTCAACAGATAATTATATGGTCGTTTGATTCTTAATACTATACTAACCTTTTTTACTTTGTGTTCTAATTTTTTTAATATCTAGCGCTCTTTTTATGGAATATATTTATGCACCTTAAGTGTAATGACCTCACTTGTCATTTTGAACATCTACGATCCTTTCGAAAATCTGAAGTCTTGAGCATCTTCATAATGTGTATTATGACTTGTGTGAATTGTCGACTTTAGTTTTTGGATGATTCGAGATTAAATTAAAAGAACAATCCTTGTTTAGAAGCTTAAATGAAAAGAGTTGATCGAAGTTTGACTTTTATGCAAATGACTCCGGAATAGAGTTTTGATGGTTTCAATAGCCCTGTATGGTAATTTTGGACTTAGGAGTGTACCCAGATATTTATTTTGAAGTCCGTAGTTAACTTTAGCTTGAAACGGCGAAAATAGGAAATTGAAAGATTGGAAGTTTGACCGGGAGTTGACTTTTGAATATCGGGGTTGGAATCCGATTCTGAAAATTTGAATAGGTCTGTTATGTCATTTATGACTTGTGTGCAAAATTTGAAGTCAATCGTACTTGATTTGATTGGTTTCAGCATCGAATGTAGAAGTTGGAAATTTTTAGTTTTATTAAGCTTGAATTGGGGTATGATTCGTGTTTTTAGTGTTGTTTGATGTTATTTGAGGTATCGACTAAGTTCGTATGATATTTTAGGACTTGTTGGTATATTTAGTTGAGGTACCGAGGTCCTCGGGTAGATTTCGGATGGTTAACAAAATTTAATTTGGATATTTCTAAAATGTTTCAACGTCGATTCTTCAAGAATATGTGATATCACATTATTAAAATGAGCTACAAATTCAGTTTTTATTGAAGCATTAGATCCGTATTGCAATTACTGAGCCATAGCAAAAAGAATCATCGAATTCGGACATCGTATGAGAAAGTTATGACCATTTCCATGTCGGAAAAAATAAAATCCTGTCACCAGCGCCCAGGGTAGTGTGAAGGCGCTAGCCCTGGCACTGGGATGTTTTAGAGGTTCTGGAAACAGCGCCACAAGCAGAGCTCCATGCCACCTGTGGAAAATTTCACCACACAACTTGGGATAAGTGTTCTTGACTCCCGTGTGATTATATTCCATGAATTAATCTTCATTTTCGACGTTAGATTATTGATATTTTAAGAGAAATCGGAGGAATTTTCTACCATTTAATAAAATAAAATTTCGAGATTTGAGCATCGATTTGGAGTCGAATCTGAGTAAAATTAGTATAGTTGGACTCGTAATTGAATGAGTTTTTGGATTTTATGAGTTTCGTCAGGTTCCAAGACGTGGGCCCCATTGTCGATTTTTCGAGCGGAGTTGGGAATTTTTATAAATTGTTAAATTGTATGCATTAGAGTATATTTTGATTAATTTGCACGTTGTTTGACTAGTTTCAATTCGTTTAGCTCAGAATTGAAGAGATAGGAAGGCGTTCGGAGGTTGATACGCGCAGAGTGCAATTTCTGGAGCATTGTTTAGCTTGCTCGATATTCGATTTGACTTGTTCGAGGTAAGTAACTCTTCTAAACTTGGAGTTGAGGGTATGAACTCTGATTATACGTGTTATGTGTTTGGTGTTGAGGTGACACACATGCTAGGTGACGGGCGTGTGGGCATGCACCGTGTGAATTGTAACTCTATTACTTATGTGGTACTGTGTAATTACCTGATCTTATCTGTAACCAAGAAATCTCTACGTACTAGAGCTACTGAGTTGCGATCCATGTTGGAAACCATGTCTACGCTACATGCTTATTCTGTTGAGACCCACTGGGGTCATTTTTGCTGTTGAGTTATCTACTTACATTGCATTTACATACTCAGTCCTATGCATATCATATCGTAGTCTTTGTTACCATTTATTGATACATCACATCTTTATTTTTGGGCTGATTCTTTTCATGACACTAAAAGCCCGAGAGACTGGGGAGATTGTTGACTGAGTGAGGCCGAGGGCCTGATGGTGAGGATGTTTATGGGATCGGGCTGCACACCGTAGCAGGCCATATTGGCTTTATATGTATTTATTTATGATGGGATCGGGATGCACGCCACAACATGTTTTATTGATTTATGCCATGATTGGCTTGTTATAGCGCTTGGGCTGAAGGAGCCCCTCTGAAGTCTGTACACACCCTAGTGAGCGCAGGTACCTACTGAGTGCGAGTGCCGAGTGATTGGGAGGATTGAGTGATTGTGAGGACTGGGTGACTGGGAGGACTAAGTGAATTGATACTCTGAGAGTATGCACATGGTTTTATCATTGAGTTACATCGCATTGACATGCACACTTGACATACATTCATAAAGATGCATTATCCTCATACTATACAATATTGTGTCATTCGTGACTTCATATACTCATTGACATGTAGGCATAGAGATGTATGTTCCTCATGCCATTTGAAAATGAAACATCCTATCTGTTGTTGAAAGGTTTTTGGGAAAAATCACAGGTTTACAAAACGTACTCATATTTTGGTGATTTTGGTAAAAGATTTGGATTTTCGCTGATGTACTTGAAAAGTAGGCCTATTTTTCTAGAACTGTGAACGAGCTGAGCATTTTATCTGTGAGCTACTTTTTTTATTACTTCCATTATGTTGTTATGAACTGTTGTTGTCTATTGGTGTTGGACCCCAACCTATGTTCCAACTCGTCACTACTTTTAACCTAAGATTATATTTGTTACTTATTGTGTACATGAGGTCGGTTGTACTCATATTACACTTCTGCATCTTGCGTGCAGATATTGGATGTTGATGTTGCTGTGATCGACGGGAGCTGAATTTGAAGACATACATGCGTTCCGGTTGTAGCTGCCTCTTGTTCATGGTAGCCTTAGATTTATAAAATTCTGTTTATGTACGTCAAACATATGATGTAATTATTTCATATCAGTTTTGTAAATTCTAATCTTAGAAGCTCATGATTTGTACTACCGGTCCTTGGGGAGTGTATTAGAGTCAGTTAATTATTAATTGAATTGGATTGTTGTTATTTGGCTTACCTAGTAGGTGAGGTTAGGTCTTATCACGGCTAGTTGGATTTTGGGTCGTGACACTAAGATCGTTTTTTAACTTGAAATATAATTTTACTCAAATGATGAATTTAAAAATAATTGAATTGGATTCTCTTGCTAAACAATTGATTGAATGATTTAATTATTTGGACTTAACATAAAAAATAATTTATTTATGTTGACTCAAATTCTTACTATTAGATCATCGATCTGACATTCCTCTTTTAGATCTTTATGTTTGCCGAATCGTAAGTGGTATTAACTCTTACCAACCATTTTTCTTTTTCTTTCTCACACATTTATATTCTTAAATATTTTCTTAGTTGTTATTTAATAAT